GTATATGTATATGCATAACCCAAAATAAATTATTAAATCAAAATATGGCACGGTTCGTCGTTAGCTTGGTACCAGGCATGACGCTTGCGCAAAATATTAATTCCCACCTTACATAAAAAATAAAATATAAAATAATAGTTAACTTAAATATTGTGCATAACCGCACCTATACTACGTCGTATATTATAAACTAAACAGTAAACTTATAATCCTTATAAGCTTATAACCCTCTCCAAATTGGAAGGTGATATCTGCTTAACTTTTAGTTAAGACCAAACTACCCAAAAGAAAATTATTAAACCATGAAATTTTATAATTAAGTATAATTCATAAAACTAAATAAAAATATCAAAAAAAAATAAAAATACAAAGATATACAAAGATACACAAAGGACTTCAGACACAGAGGTTATTTACTTAAACTCCCAGATTGGAAGAGGTTACTTAATCTCTGCCCCCACACGGGTCTTCTGAGATTGCTTAACTTAATCGTTAAGTCTGGTGCATCTAATAATGAATAAATTGAATAAAGTAAAATTATGGCAGTAGCCCTTAATAACTGAAGAATTACAACTTAAACGTGGAAGCAGTCCAAGTGTTCTGCGACCCGAAGGATTACTACATCAGCATTAAGTGCTTAAATTAAGTAAACTTTAAAATATTAATCAATTAAACGATGTAACATTTGATAATACTTAAGTTATGAGTGAAAGAACCCTAGAACATTCTGTGCTCAAAAGTATAAATAATGTTGAGAATACCTTGACAACATTCGATTGAAAGTGAATATATAGTTTAACAATGCACACATGAAACCTTCAATGTAACGTATAAGAAAAACCTGTTAGTAGGGTGTCTTCTTTCACAGCATTCCCATCTTCCTATCCAGAACGAGAAACATCCTTGTAAATCTAGTTACAAGTAAACTAGGTGGCTAGCATACCAATGTTCTGTGTTCCCTCGATGAGTCCACGATGAAACCGTTGAACTCCGGACGATATAACCCTCTGTGTACAACTGTTGAAATCCTGGGTCAACAACCCCCTTGGTGAAACTGTCGTCTAATCCTGGGCTAACAAGCCCCTGGGTGAAAATTGTCGACGAATCTTGGGCTAACAACCCCCTGGGTGAAACTGTCGTCTAATCCTGGGCTAACAAGCCCCTGGGTGAAAATTGTTGACGAATCTTGGGCTAACAACCCCCTGGGTGAAACCCTTAAAATATTACAAAGAAAAATGTCAATACTTATTGACTCAAGTATCCAGAACTATAGGATTACCCAAAAATGTACATAAACTAGAAAATATTCAGCATCTAAGATGAAGAAAAATTACATTGGCTCAACAGTGAGTCATAAACAGTATTATGAGCTCAAATAATTAAAATTCTGTTACACCATGTCATAACATAAAAGAAATTGACAGCCACATGGTGCGTAACATAACCAAATATATACAAAACATACCTTTTTCGTAAAGGGTTAACTTGGTAGTCTTCCAAGGATGAGAAACACGTGAGATGATCCACAGCACAACAATATTCCACACTCCAAATGCTGTGAACTCCCAATTATTGCGTTAAAATCCTATAATAGATATGGGCTGGACCAATGACCATAGGAATTTACCAATACACTAAAATTCCTCTCAAAATACGAAATGTCCATTTACCCACAATTAACCATGAAGTAGAATCTAAAATCCCCTTTAACTAGGGTAAGCCGATGGGGCTAAATATTAAGAAAATTCTACTTCGACGCAAAAATCGTCTCTCGTGACTCAACACCCACTGCCAGAAACAATACGTCAGCCGTCCCAAAATGGCCGAAATCCCTTTCCGATAAATGTCAAGTGGGTTCAGAAATTCATCCTCAAGAATTCCCCACTATATAACTTAACAGACCATTTACGAAAGGTACCCTAAAAACTATATTTATATACAGTATAACTACATTTGGGAAACTGTTCCCGACAAAAATTAATACAACAGCGATCGCCAAAAAATCCCTCACGACTTAAAATCGCTCATTGTGAAATTACCTTACCTCGGGTTCTGAGCCCGATATTGGAACGTCCCACCAACACTTGTCGGTGTTCTGTCGTCAAATGACGTTTATGTCATTCACTGTCATAATTAAAAAAAACATTTACCCAATTCTGACAGCTATAAACAAAATAAAGAAAATCTTAAAGAATGGTATCGCAAATAATTAATTACCCAAAGGTGAGACTATAATACATAATATGTATAAATTTACAACGAAACTTGGTCTATTTTTAGGAGAATCTGGCAAATTAAAACAGCAAATATGACCATTGTACAAAGTATTATACTAGTGGTGAGCTACCATCCTTTTACTTAGTGATGAGATGAAATAAATTGTAATATTGATGTCTGAAAGTTAGAATACAGGTGAAATTAGTTAATGACCAAAATAATAGTGATATCAACCATACGATTTTACCCTTTTTTTTTTGTATGATTAACCAGGTAAGCCAAAACAATTTTATTAATTCGTGGGGCCAAAAATGAACGTTACAATATATTGTGATTTATTCGTGTATCACCCTGTACAGTAAATATTTTAACCTGTATAAACATCTTACCAAAACATATATTAAACTTATATTCTACATAAAATCAATTTAGCTTTTCAGTTTAAAGAAAAAAAAACTAAAATCACTTTAACGCCCTGTATCTTAAAAACTAGTCATAGTATTGGATTTAAAATTCACATATCTTAAAATAGTGTGTCGTGTACTGGTTTTGAAGTTCAAGAATCCAAACCTCTTCATTTTGGTCCTTCGAGCCGGATAGATAAAACAACATTTTAAAGATATAAATTCAAACTCTTTACATTTTAAGTAGAAAATGTATAAAAATTCCGATTTCCACTAATAAGAAAGCAAGTTTTAATGATACAAGTTCCAATTAATTTTATAAGCTAACATTATGAAAATTTTTAGTATAAAGAACAACTAATACAAAATAACTTCGTCCATGATTGTATAACTAGCGAAATCGAAATGTACAAACTTCAAAATCGCATTCCAATCAATACTCCTTCAGATTAATACACGCAGTGAAATGAATGAGCGAGCGAGAGCGAGATATACGTATAAGAGATAGAGAAGTAATTAAGAAGGTTATTTATGGGTTTGTTATAGTTTCGATCGTAAATTTTAACATTATTTGATAACGCTTACGCCGGAGAAAAGGCTGTTTTAATTAAAGTTTCAGAAACGATGTTTTTGAGTGAATTTAGACGATTGCTGTAAATTTCTGTTCTCTATTCAAATCTTTCTTTATTTCGTTTCGATGAGGTAAATGGAATTGTGATATGAACAGTTTTAAATTAACTTTTGTTCTACTTCGTTTGTAACGGGCTTTTTTAATACTTTTCAAATGCACATTCTTTATTTTTGTACCAGGGACAATATTCAAAGTGTATTTTGTTGTACACGTCAATATCCATAACTAAATATGAAACTAAAATTAAAATTGATAAAAATACGGTGTTTTAGTGTTATTTTAATTTTGTTTCGCCATATTAATTGTCTTTTTTTTTCCTAATCTACAATTTTTTTTATTTCTTGTATCGTTAGTTGAATCAGTATTTTCTTTAAGACATTTACATTTTCTGTATTTAATTTAAAACTTTTGGACCAAATAATTAAAAACGAGCAACTCAACTTACCTGTTCCTTTTAAATTTTCTAATAAACAACACTTTTTTTAGACAACCCTATATATTAATTTACACTGACCCAAAATGTAAGCTAAGTACCTACCAAATGTTTTATTTAGATCGAGAACTTCAAATAATTATCGTAGAATGTGTATACATATTACATATATCGACATAAACACCGTTAAACAGTAAATTGTATATTGACGCCGCGCCTAATGAGTATGGGTTATTTTTAAAACTGTAGTGTGTTCCTGTTTTTCAGTTAATTACTTATGTGTATTTAACATAATTTTTCATAGACTCGTCTATGTACTATTATGTAATGTTAAAAATAGCGGTATGCCGTTTAAATGTTATATTTAAGGCCGAAGAAGCAAACTCCAATATTGGTAACAATAACTAATTTTGATAGATGTCATGTTAGAGTCTTTCTGTTCAGTAGCTGGAGCAATATTCTATTCGTTATTAATCCGGTCCAGTAAACATGGCAACACTGTTTTGAAATCATGTTTTGTGTAGTTAACAGAAACTGTTGAGCAAAACTCTATTAAAAGTAGATATTTTAATCGAGTTCATCGCATAGAAATTTGTATAGTTCGTTGTGAAATGATTAATTATAGTCTACCATACAAAAGTATTGGGCAAACGTGGTGTAAAGAATAAGTCTTTGGCTATTAAAGCAAGGGATCGTGCGTTCAAATCTCGATATTCCAATAAACACTTTTTTTAGCCTCTTTTTTAAATAAACATTCAATATATATTTAAATTAAAATACAGAACGTGGCTAATAAAAAGTCAGTGAGAAGCTTGTATATGAAAAAAAGAAAAACTCATGGAGAATTTTCCTTAACTAAAGAATTTAGTGATGAAAAGTTCACCAATTATTTTCGGCTAAACCGTGATCAATTTAGAGAAGTGCATCAGATCATCAAGAAATAAATAGACGCAGATGGATGCGATGCTACAAGGCCCATTAGAACTGAAGAGATACTAGCTGTATTTCTAAGGTATTTTATATTAATAATATTAATTAATAATATTAATTAATAATATTAATATTAATGTAAATTATTACATTAGTGAACTTTATTAACAAAATTATATGTGTGTGAATTGGCAGCTGTAGAGGAGTTTTCTTGTTCCTCAAGGGTATCAGCGGGGCTTAAGAGTGAATTGTCCGAATACGAATAGGCTGGGGTTGAATAATTGCTGCTGCAATAGGGTGGATTAGTTGCAGGAGCAGGGTAAGGCTGCTTCTGGATAGGAACGTCAAGTAACCTAGCTTCTACTTTTGAAACCACGGTTTTTAATCAAGTGCTGATATGAGGGTGGCATTTTTCTGGTAGATTGGTACATTGACATAAAGAAGTAAAATAGGGGATCATTTTCTGTAGGTTTTGATTTCTTGAAATATTTTCTTTCTTTCTTGCTTTAGCTCTCTTTTCACGTTTTTCCATGCTTTGTTTCAGCAGGGCAGTGACATTATCTTTCTTAAATTTTTTAGCTGATTTCGGGGATTCATTTAATGTCGGGGTTTCAGCTGCCCTCGAAGGCAAAGTTTGTGGATGTTTCTGTGATTGGGCTTCATCCTCTATGCTTTCGTCTTGCTGTAGTTTATTCACTTCTTCTACATTTTCATCGTCTACTTCTGCAAATGTTACATATTCTTCAGAATCTCGGGTAACGTTTTCATTTCCATCTTCTTCTCGAAGGTTCCCTTCTCTCGATTTATTGGCCATGTAGGGCTGCAGAATCCCATCTGCTTCTGAAACTTCCATTCTTTAATAGCTTCCGCCGGTACTTCACTCTTAAAATATTTTTGTTGCGCCCTAAGCGCATCCCCCAATGAATGTCTTAGTTTTTCCCACAATGCCTTTCCTTCAGTTGTTACAGTTGGTTTTGAAAGAAAATGGAAATTCCCGTATTGAATTGGATGCACTGACGGTAAACATGTGGTGATTAAAAAGCCTGCAAAAAGTGGATCGTCTTATTTCAGCTATAAACATACGTTCTCAACTGTGCTATTGGCTATCGTCAAATTATAAATTCATCACTATTGATGTTGGGTCACAAGGAAAATTTAGTGATGGAAACGTTTTCAGTACAAGCGTTCTAGCAAAGAAAATGCTGAAGTATACTTTACATCTTCCAGCACCTACTGTACTGCCTTTACTTGTGGACCCAATACCTTATCTGTTTGTAAGAGATTAGCCTTTCCCATTATCTGACAATATAATGCGACCTTATCCTAAACGAAGTGTTACTGACAATTATGAAAACAAAGTCTTTAATTACAGACTATCGTGCCAAACGACTGAATGCGCTTTCGGTATAGTAGCCTCGCGTTTTCGAGTTTTCCAAACACCTTTTGAGATCAAAGTAGAAAGTGTCATTGATGTTGTTAAGGCAGCTTGTGTATTGCACAATTATTCAGTACTTTAAAGTGAAGACGACGGAAAAGAAGATATGCCACAACATCAGCTGCGGCCATTGCAATCAACCAATACTCGAAGTGCACAGAAAGCTTTTGCGATTCGTCAGAATTTTACTAATTATTTTAACTCTGCAGGAGCTGTACCTTGGCAGAGGGAAAGTGTTGCTAGAGGGAAGTACTGAGATACATATACAATGTACAATAAATAAATAAACTTACCAGTTTTTATATAGATTTCTTTAGCGATTTCTTTCCATATTTCAGTTTTTAGTTTTGTCCTGCGGCAACTATACTGCGTTCCGCAGGGTCAGTTTACGCCAAAACTGCGTCACGTCACGCTGCGAAGAAATATGCATATGTTATATTCTTTGAAAAGTATATAATAATAATAATAATAATAATAAACTTTATTTGCAACTTCCAGTTTTTTATACATATAAAAATATTCAGAAAAAAAGTGCCAAAGAAGGCTGCAAAAAGGACTGGTGAACAGTGGATACTGATCAAAGCACCAGCCCTGAGTATTACCAATGCCACAGGACATCGTACAAAAAACAATATAAAAATAAACACAAATGATAGTGAGAAAAAAAAGTATAAACATTCTAAAAAGTAGCTATCACTCTGCTGTGTCAAGAAGAAACTTTTTGTAAAATTTTTTAAATTTACTTACAGACATTTCTTTAAAATGTTGTGGGATAACCTTGTACATTGCATAAATATTATAAGTGAAAGACCGTCTGAAAATAGCAGTATTATGTATTGGAGGTGAGATACGACCACAAAAACGTAGATTGAGGTTATGAACATCAGAACGATACATTATTTTATTAAAAAGATATGGAGGGGATTTATGTAAAATAACAGAATGAAACAAATTAGCCGAGTGTAAGTTTCGTCTGGATTGCATATCTAGCCAGTTTGAATCCTTGAGTTTATGAGAGACTCTATCAAATTTCCGTATTCCATAAGAAAATCTTAAACAAGATTTCTGTACTCTCTGAATTCTAATTATGTCTGCGTTATCTAAACAGGGCCCATAAACTGAATCACAAAAGTTAAAATTACTCAGAACCAGGGAATCTGTTAATAACAATTTTGTTGTAGTTGGAAGAACATGTCGATGTGGGTAAAGCATTTTTATATTCATGTATGCTGTTTGGATGCACTTGTTAGCGTGAAGTTTAAACCTCAAGTCATTATCAATTACTAAACCTAAATTGCGAGCAGATGTGGAAAATGATAAAATATTCCCATCAACTAGAATCTGCATTTCATTTTGTAGTTGATGTCGGTATTTACCAAATAACATTACTACACTCTTAGCTGGATTAATATTAAGTTGATGAATATTTGAAAGTTTAACTAGTCTGTCAAGATCTTCATTAATATGATTATTAGCTTCTAAGGAATCATTATGATTAAAAGAAAATTTAACTTGAGTATCGTCAGCATAAAAAAATGGCTTACCATTCCTAATGCTATTCTCAAAGTTGGAGGTATATAGTGAAAATAATAATGGCCCAAGTATTGATCCCTGAGGAACTCCACAGGAAATCTGCTTAGTATTTGATGAACCTGCATCAGTAACCACAAATTGTTTCCTGTTATACAGGTAGCTATTAAAAAGTCTGATAACATCATTAGAGCAACCAATAAAATGTAATATTGAGAGTAAAATTTTATGATTAATAGTATCAAATGCTTTGGAATAATCTAGCATAACAAGTGCTGCCGTTTTTTTGACATCAATATCCCTGAAGAGATCATCAGTGACATCCAGTAAAGCTGTAGCACAACTATAGCCAGAACGAAAACCTGACTGTCGCAGTGGAAGTATTTGATTATTTTTTAAATGAATATTTAATTGAAATTTCATGATTTTTTCAATCACTTTGGATAACACTGGTAGGATAGAGATGGGACGCAAATCGTTCACACTAGTAACGTTCTTTTTCTTGGGCAAGGGAAAGACTTTTGATAGCTTCCAAGATTCCGGAAAGATGCAATCGGTGAGGCAAACATTTATGATATGTGTAATTATAGGTAAAATTTCAGGACAGCAAAGAAGTAGCATGTGAATATTTAACTGATCCGCTCCCGAAGCTACAGACTTTATTTCGACCAAATACTTATATACGACTGGAGTACTGACAACACTGAATGAAAATATAGAACATAAATTATCCTTTAGGTTATTACTATAGAATTCAATTAGATCAGTGTCTGGTTCTTTATTACGTGCCGACGGACCTAAAAAATGATTATTAATTTCATCTGGCTTATTAAGGTTAATAGGAATCGAATTTATGGGATATTTCGCAGATATATCAAATTCTTTAATTTTTTTCCAAAAAATTTTACCATTACCTTTGGATTTATTTATACAGTATTCTAGATAGGCCTTTTTCTCATTTCTTATAGCAGAAGTTGTAAAATTTTTCAAGTTTTTATAATAATCCCAGTGATTTGGGTTTCTAGTAGATTTATATTTGTTAAATGCCTTATCTCTAAGCTTAATCATCAATTTAACATTATCGGTTAACCAAGGTGGGTTAGGCTTTTTAAATTTAATGGTATGAACTGGCGCTAAGGTATCAAAAATATTTAATATCGTGCTATTAAGATATTCAACCTTATCATCAATGTTATTAAAAGTAATAATATTTTCAAAAGGGGTAAATAGCAGCATTTCTTTTAAAATAACACGATTAATGTTTTTTAAATTTCTAAACTGAAATTCTTTTGGAGGATCAACTGTAATTGTTAAGTTTAGTGTACAATATGTTAATTTATGATCCGAAATATTGAATACTTCCTTTACACCACTATCAATAGGATCAAACTGGTTAGGTATGGCTATCACATCCAATAAAGTAGCACTATTTTTGGTTACCCTCGTCGGCTCGTTAATAATTTGTTTAAGATTAAATAATTCTATGGTATTAATAAAGTTATTCGAATTTGTTGAACTGCTATCCATTAAATCAATGTTTATGTCACCACCGCATATTATGTCATTACATGAAGGTATTAATAGTGAAAGATTTTCTTCTAGATTCGCAAAAAACTGTTGGTTGTTTTTTTTTGGTGGCTTATAAAAGAGACCGAAAATATATAAACAGTGATTAATTTTAGTTTGAACCCATAGCTGTTCCACACATTCATGTTCCTTTACCGTGAGAATTTGATAATTAATTGTAGATTTTATATAAAATCCTACCCCGCCTCCTCTACTTCCTCTATCTTTTCTTATAAAACTGTAACCGTCAATACTTACAGCAATACTCGAGATGTTGTTAGTCAGCCATGTCTCACTTACTCCAATAAGATCTAAATTATTCTGCAAAATAAACGTTTTGAGATCTAAAAAAGTATTACATAACGTATTAACGTTGTAATATGCAAAAGATAGATTCTTCATGACACAAAAGAATAGCTAAAAAGAAAAATACACCTAATTAAACAATGAGCTAATATACAAGTAAAAAAGGAAAAATATACTATGTGACTCTTCGCAAAAAAAAAAGTTATCTTTAGCAATTAGAGTACATAATACTGGTACAAAGAAATAAATTTGTATAATTATGCAAGATAAAAAATAAAATTTTTATCATATCGAACTAATGTTAATTAATTACTAAAATATATAAATAGCTACGCCTATGATCTAGAGTTTACCATATAGGTATGTATAATTGAATTGATCAAAATTGACCAGCAGAGAGAAAGAGGAAAAAAACAAGTAAAAAAAACAATCAGTAAATAAACTTAAATGAAGCGGTAGGTAAATATAAGCAAATTAAATCGAATACACTGTAAAAAAGAAAATTTCTAGTCTATATCTTTAGAACTCGTGATAGTTTTCTTCTGCCCATCCACCGAGGCAAAAATTCTTCCATTGGAACTCCAAACATGTTGCCGACCATATTTAGAAACTGCAGATTTTATCAAAATTACGTTTGTCTTCGTCAAATCTTCTTTAATTGTCAAACCACTATTCTTGAGATGTTTTTTGCAAGAAAAAACGACATTTTTCATCTTGTTTGACACAAATCGAACTAAAATAGGCCTGGGATTTAAGTTATACTCACTATATTTACCAATGCGATGAAATTGGTCGAAATCAGATGCAGAAACACATGTTAATTTTAGATTTTCGGTAAACACATTAATAATATTTTTTTCAAGTTGGTGAGATTTTTCTTGTTTAACTTCTTTGACACCATACAGTAACAAATTATTTAATTTAAATCTTTGTTCATAATTTTCCATATTATTTTCCAGGTTATTTATTTTCTCCAA